GAAATGCAGAGCTTATTGCTCCAGAGCGGGAGTGGGCATGCACTCTCTAGGAGATGCGTTTCTTCTTCACTGGGGAACATTACAGTTATATGCTTTCCCTCCTGTTGTGCTCATTCCCAAGGTGCTAGAGAAGGTTGTCATGGACAGGGCGCCAGTGCTGATCATAGCCCCGGCTTGGCCCAGGCAACCGTGGTATTCGACCCTCCTGCAGCTCTCGACTCGGACACCGTACCGATTTCCTCATCTACCGGACTTACTGTCGCAACAGAAGGGCTCTCTTCTCCATCCGAGGCTGGACACCCTTCACTTAACAGCCTGGATGATAGATGGTTCAGCACGTCCGAGATGCTTTGCTCGGACCAGGTAAAGCGCATCCTGCTCTATAGTAGGAAAGAATCGACTAGAAAGACCTATCTCTCAAAATGGTCAAGATTCACTCGCTGGTGCGCTCCTAAAGACCTCGATCCCTTTATGTCACCACTTAATGTCATATTGGACTATATTCTTCAGCTGCAGACGGATGGGCTGTCCATATCATCACTTAGAGTTCATGCAGCGGCAATTGCGGCCTTCCACATGCCCATCGAAGGGAAGTCAGTTTTTTCCCATCCTATAGTGGCAAGATTCTTTAAAGGCCTCGTTAACCTTAATCCACCAGTTAGGCCCCCGCCACCTGCGTGGAGTCTTGACTTGGTCCTCGACGTTTTAACAAAAACCCCGTTTGAACCTCTAGCAACCGCTCCGTTGCCTCACCTCACAATGAAAGTACTTTTTCTCCTCGCTATAACGTCGGCACGTAGGGTGAGTGAGCTCGCAGCACTGATGTCATCACCCCCATATACAGTTTTTTCTAAGGAGGCTGTAACATTGAGATCACATCCAGCTTTTCTGCCGAAGGTCTGTACCGACTTTCACATCAATGAACCGATCGTTCTGACATGCTTTTACCCAAAACCTCACACGTCTAGACGGGACGCTCTTTTGCACACTCTAGACGTCCGCAGGGCTCTAGCCTTCTATTTAGATAGAACCCGTGGTTTTAGGAAAACACCATTCTTTACAAAATATCCTGAGTATGACACATGGAAAAAAAGCCAGCTAGGAGCTGCAGCGAAAAATGAACATTGGATAAAATAGCCATCTGGCATAGTCAAAAAAAGATGGGAGCTTAATCTCCACAGGTTTTGGAGGCTCATACAGCATTATTTGCAAGGAGAAGCCTGTCACTGACAGGGATTAGGAGAAGAGATGCATGCTAAAAATTGGTCACGAACTATTTGACGAGTTTCACAACAAGGACAAAACCTTACAGAAAATTCAGAACATGCCATTATTGGCAAAAACAGTTCATGACAGAGCCGTGAAAATGGCCCATCAAATCAACAAGGAACAAATGCAAAATTTGAGTACAGCTACTTATTTTTCATTTGCTTTGGACAACCCAACCGACATTTGTTAATCACTTGTGTATTCTCGGACAATATATTTGTGGAAATGCTGTGCACGAAGAAATGATTACAATATTACCAATGAAAAATCAAAGAATGGGCGAAGACATCCTTAAGGCTGTGGTGAACTTTGTGAATGAGAAAGAAATACAGTTGGATAAGCTTTCTGTTGGAAAGAACTTCCTGTCTGTGTATACAGACCGTGCACCTAGAATTGTCGGTAAATTCAGAGGATTCCTACACTTTTGTTAGAACAGCTGAACTGCCTACTATTGAACTTTCATTGCATTGTGCATCAGAAGGCACTTTGTGCGCAATCTTTTGGAATAAAACTCAGAAATGTAATGGGAATGGTTGTTCGCATTGTCAATTTGATTCTTGCACAAGGCCTTAATCACCGTCAATTTCAGTCACTGCTTGAGGATGTAGATTCTGAATACCCAGATCTACTAATGCACAGCAATGTTCTCATGGCAAAGTTTTGTCTCATTTTGCACATGCATTAATGAGATTAAGTCATTTTCGGATATGAAAGGTGTCAAACATGCTGAGCTTTCAGACTGTGCCTTGTTGCTCAAGTTTTACTATCTTATCGACATTACTGGTCATTTGAATAAGTTGAACCATAAGCTACAAGGGCAATGGAATACAGTCCTGACTCTGTAGCAGGTAGAGTGTGGCTTTGAATCAAAATTGACTGTCTTCATCAAAGATATCAAGATGGCAAGACTTGCACATTTTGAAAGATTATGAATGTTTTGTGATTCATATCAGAAAGAGAATCCAAATAACAGCCTTGATTTGCAGCAGCTTGCTGGTTTTGTTTCTGAGCTCCTGAAGGCATTCAAGTCTTGTTTTCTTGACAAAATAACCTCCCACGGTCAAATATATAAGCGAAACATCCATACTGCTAAGCCCGTTATTTTGAAATAACAAGCTACAGAATTCAAAATCTGTACTCCTGCTTTTCATCAGGAGTAACACTAATTCCAAAATAGTTTTTTCAAAATAACGATAGTATGGATGCTCTGGTGCTGCTACTTTGAAATAATTACTCCCCTGAGTAATTCAAACTAATTATTCCCAGTGCTTTCTGGGGCTCTAATTTCAAGGTAGCACATTCACATTAACAGCCTGCCTCGGACTAATTTCAGTGCTTCCCTGTAGTGTGGACATACTAATTCCATTTTGTTAATTCAGGAGTTAAGTCAAATTTAATAATTTTGAAATACTTTTCTAGTGTGGACATGGCCCTATAGTTTAATTTCTAATTTCTAGGTTATGAAATAGTCAGAAATGAACTAAGAGGTATACTTTTGAGTAGGATTTTCAAAATTAATTTGGATTCAATATAGTTTCCTGAAATAATGTAGCAATTTAACATTTATTTGTTTTCAGATTTTGGCGTTAGATGCAGTAACTAGAAAAGGGCTCAGTGGGCTTTCTTTCCCATACTTGTGGATTGACAAAGCTGATGTACTAATTCAGTTAGACTTGTACCAACCAGCGAGATTACTACTCTCAGAGGCATATAGTGCAACACAGGTAGGTAAGAAATAATTCAAACCTGTAAAAACAAAATTATTATTACAGTTTGGCAAAATGTGTAGTGTAATTAAAATGTCACTGATGTTAATGGTAGTCAAAATACAAAAACACTGTCCAAAGGTTGGAAAATTATCTCTGAGTTTAAACGTATAAACCTTGTGAAACTGAGAGTATATATCATATACTTAAAGCTGCAGAATCCCTAAAAGAATTCTGAAGTTACTTTTAAAAACTCTGTGTTCATTAGAAACCTAGGTCTTGTACTTAAAAGAAAACCAAACATTTGAAAGTATGGAAATTCAGTGTTATGGCACCCAAACAACTTTAACTCTTACTCTCTGAAGGGTGGGGAACTTTTTTTTATCATAGGCCATTGACCCACAGAAAAAAATCAGTCGAGGGCCATACTCAGCCCTGTAGAGGGGGGCAGTAGAGGCTCAGGGTCTCCCCTAGATTCCCAGAAAGGGCCAGAAATGAGGGTTTCAGGATGCAAGAGGAGATGTAGGTTCTGTGGTGGGGCTTGGAATGACAGGTTTGGAGTACAGGCAGGGGCTCCTGCCTGGGGCAAGAAGCTGAGGTGGGGGTGGAGGTAAGGGCTCTGGCTGCGAGCATGGGTCTGGGTTGGGGACAGGGATGGGACAGGGGGCTAGTGTTTAGGAGAGGTTTGAGGTGCAGGCTCCAGGAGAGGATATGGGAAGGGGCTCAGGGTTTGGATATGGGTATGTCTACACTACAGCATTAATTCGAACTAACTTAATTCGAATTAGTTAATTCGAACTAAGCTAATTCGAACTAGTGCATCTAGACCTAAAAACTAGTTCGAATTAGCATTTTGCTAATTCAAACTAGCATTTCTACATTGAGTGGATCCTGAACCAAGGTTAAGGATGGCCAGAAGCAGTGCCGGCAGGGCATCAGATTAGGATTTAGAGCATAGAGTTTCTGTCTCACGCTAGCTGAGGGCTGTGCTTAAAGGGACCCGACCCCCACCCCGGACAGACAGTTCTCAGGGGTTCCCCGCTCGCTTGTCTAACTTGATGAGGGACAGCAAAGCAGTCCTGGCTTGGAGTGCCCTGAATGCCCACACTCGGCACATTACTTGCTGCAGGCTGCCATCCGGGGGGGGTTCAATCGGGGGGGTGCAGGAGAGCTTCCACCCTGAGGAGCCCACAGAGCCACCCCAGTCCTCCCCATCGGGGGCTCGTACCCCATTCCTCCCTTATCTCCTTCCACTTACCCCTCCCTAGCCCCCCTTCCTGATGTACAAAATAAAGGACACGTGTGTTCAAAAATAGAAACTCTCTTTATTGAACAAAACTCGGTGGGACTGGGAAAAGGAGGTGGGTGTGGGGAAGAGAGAGGGTGGGAGAGGGGAGGGCAATTAAAATGATCAGGGGTTTGGAACAGGTCCCATATCAAGAGAGGCTAAAGAGACTGGGACTTCTCAGCTTAGAAAAGAGGAGACTGAGGGGGGATATGATAGAGGTCTATAAAAGCACGAGTGGTGTGGAGAGGGTGCATAAAGAAAAGTTCTTCATTAGTTCCCATAATAGAAGGACTAGAGGACACCAAATGAAATGAATGGGTAGCAGGCTTCAAACTAATAACAGAAAGTTCTTCTTCACAAAGCAAAGAGTCAACCTGTGGAACTCCTTGCTGCAGGAGGCTGTGAAGACTAGAACTAGAACAGAGTTTAAAGAGAAGTTAGATAAAGTCATGGAGGCTGGGTCCATGGAGTGATATTAGCCAGGGGATAGAAATGGTGTCCCTGGCCTCTGTTTTGGAAGGCTAGAGATGGATGGCACAAGTCAAATGGCTTGGTCATTGTCTTCGGTCCATTCCCTCTGGGGTAGCAGGTGTTGGCTGCTGTCGGCAGACAGGCTACTGGGCTAGATGGACCTTTGGTCTGACCCAGTATGGCCGTTCTTATGCTCTTATGTTCTAAGCTCAGGGTCGGGGGTCTCAGTGGACCACCCTGATTTTCATGCA